GCCCTTCATTTAGGTGGGCTGTTACCAGTTTCCCTCAGTGTTTCCCAAGTAAGATCCAGGTAGGCTTTTCAAAAGGGAAAAATGGGTTCTTATTGTTGATAAGTTTTTGTATTGTTCTTTTCACTTACTCATTTTATTCAGGAAAGCTGTTGACTTTTGTCAGAAAGTGCTGGATTCTGAGTGCTGGTTGTGATGAGAAGAAGTAGAATCTCTGCTCAATCTTATAAACAAGTATCGTGCTTCTATGGGGTGCTCCCAGTGAGCCCAAGCTCTAGTGTGAATCTGGGCAGCCCTGCCTACAGCTCACCTGAACCACTGGAATGTGCCAAGAGTGCAATGAGCATCTCAGCACCGGACACATGTTTTAGGTTCAGAGATTGAAGAAAAACATATTGAACATATTATTTGCAAATGTCATGAACGTGATGTTTAAAATAAGCTGATGCTGTTTTGACACCTTTAGGCAGGCTGTTGTTTACTTTTTATACAGATATTGGTTGCCAGAAGCTTTGTTTCAATACAAAATATATGCAGCTATATATGTTTTACCACTTTCTTAGGGACCCAGTGTACCTAGAGTTGCGGGGAAGGTGGCCGACTGCTATGTTAAATATTCCATCTTATCAAAGAGGTGTTTCATAAATTATGTATAACAGTAGATACCACTCAACAAATATTTTATATGTGATAGATATTTTTGTCTGAAATTACTTTTTCACTTGAGCAATGATTTAAACCCTCATTTTTAGTTTTATGAGGTGACACTTTTATAATATCGTGTAGTGAATGCAGCTTGAATGTCATAGAGCTTTAGAGTATTGTTAATCATAAATTCATCTGCCCCTACTCCCAATCCTGGAAAACTTTCTCTTAATTCAGGTTTTACCCATTCTACATATGAAAGTGTGTGTGAGAACATGCTGATGTATGTGCATGGTGGGGGGGTGGGCAAGTCATGCTTTTGACCTGGTGGCTCTGAAGTTATGAATTTCAGTGATTTTCAAAGTCTATGAGGCTTATTTCAAGGAAGAGGGAAAAAAGTGTTTTTCAGTGGTTAAAAAAAAAGAATATGAAACTAAACTGGGCTATAGTCCAAAACAATTTTTCTAGTTTGAGTGGGAGCTATTAGAATTTAAAATATTGCCTTTTTCTTGGGTTATTGTCCACTTTAATGCAGAGAGAAAATACATATGTCTCTGGACTTATGAGAACAGTGGACCTAGAGGCCTGGAACATTCTTTGGCAGGCGACTACCTACCATATGTGCAGTGCTGTCACAGTTCAAAGCTACCAGACCTTCCAGTGAGGACACCGTTTTATGAAATGGAACCGTGTGATTAAATTCTCCACTCTAATATATATCTTAAAACAAAACAAAAACCCAAAATGCATACCTTCCACTTCTGCTTGAATTCCACAGGCAGGAGGAAAAGGACAAATTCTCTCCATACCTAAGAGGTAGGAGTAGAGGCTGGTTTATTTAGAGTGCTCATTTAGCTAAGATTTGCGAGGGCCTTGGTATAGTACATCAGGATTACTGAAGTCTCCGACCTGGAAGCCTGAGGTTCTGAGCCCTGGAATTGGGAGCCTGGCAGATAAGAGGAGTAATTGAGGAACAATGACACGCTTCATTTCCTTTTCTTGAATCTAAGTTACGCGTTGGTCATTTTCTCTGCCTATCTATGTAATGGTTGTTAAATTAAATTGCTTTCTTTTAAGTGGTGATTTTTATTTTAAAAATTTTTTGGCTTTTCATTCCATCACCATCTTGCATGACTGCAGCTCTGTAGGGTATGTTTGAGACTCAAATGTCTGCAGAGATGAAGGCCCCAAGGGACTTCTCTCTTTTTACTGTCCTTGTCCTGAACCTCTGAGGAGCTCCCTTGTCTGCAAGGTTATGAAGTTCTGAGTCCCTCACGTTAGAGGATAGCATTATTTTAATATTTAAATTATACTAAATACATTGATGCATTCCAGGAATGTAAGGCATACTGGTTGTGTTTCAGGCAATTCTCACACTGGAAATCAGAGCTGTATCCATTATAGGGGTTGGGGTGGGGAAGAGATACGCTAAGGGTGTCTCTCCTCAGAGCCTGATTAGTAGTTTGGAACTGCTTCCGTGTTGCTCATATCACACTTAAAATTACAGGGCAGAATGTTGTGCTCCTGGATTTGGCTCAATCTGAACTCAGCACAGCCCAATCTTAAGGCTGGAGTTTTTCCACCGTCAGTCTTTGGAATTTATCTCGGACTTGTCTAGAAGCCTGATTTTAGAGCTCTGTTGTCTTGGTACAGATGAACCTGATGTTAAGATGAGGCCCATGATTCTCGCTTGACCAGTGCTATTGACTCTACTCCTTGCATTTCTCTAAACTTTAGGTGTATCTGCCCACTCATTTCATTCATTTGACAAAAACTGAGCAGTTACTCTATGTCAGACATGAAATTAGGCACTGGGTTACATTCTAGTCTGGACAGGTAATAAGCTTATACATAATGTCATATAGTGGTAATTGCTAAGGAGGGAAACGAATCAGGATAGAGGAGTTTGGTAATTACTGTTTTGTCTGGGGTGATGGAGAAGGTGGCTTTTGAGTGGAGACCTGAGGAATTGAGGGCCGAGTTATGTATATACGTGTACATTTACACACACACACACACACACACACACACACACACGGTAATTCTTCTCAGGGCTCATTTTGTTCCCCAGGGGACTTTTGCCAGTATCTGGAGCCTTGGGGAAGAGGTAGGGTATTATTGGTATCTAGTGGGTACATAACATAACTCAAGGGGTTTGCTGCTTGGGGTGCACCAAATTGATCACAACCCAGGGAAGCGTGGAAAGAAAAGAACTTTTTATTACTTATTATAAGCCAGGAGGCAAGGAGAGAGTTCTCAAAGCACTGTCTCCCTATGGGATTAGTACAGGAAGCTTTTATTCAGTACATTAGAGGGCAGAGGCAGGGAGCTTGCATAGGCTTGCGAGGAGGCTTGCAGGGAGCTTGCATTTGGTTCAGTTGTACATGCCTGACATGTCAGCATGCTAGTGCATACATCTCATGTTCAGAAATGGTGGAAAACTTCACCCATAGGAGGAAATCTTGGTAGTAATGAGCTAAAGGTAACTTCAGGACAGCTCAGGGGTTTTTGCACAGTTTGGGGGGCCCTCAGCTCCAATCTGACCCAAACTGGTTTATGTAAGGGGCTCTCAGGTGAGACATGCCTAGCAAGGGACTGTCAGGTCAAGCACCTAGCTGGGTGTCTCCATGGCTGGAACTGTTGGTTCTGCAAAACCAAACACATTCCTTCCCTGATTTTGTCCCTCCCTCTTCTCTCTTCTGGTAGCTGTCAGCCCCTCTTGTTAGAGTAACTTCCCATTGCATCCTAGCTAACAGGTAGAGGCCAGGGATTCCACTAAGCCTCCTGAGGTGCACAAGATATCCTCCCATAATAGAGAATCATTTTGTCTAAAATATCAGTAGTGCCAAAGTCTGGAAATCCTGTTCTAGGGGAAGAGAAGGAAGAGATAGTGGCAGAAGAAACAGTAACCACAGAAGCAGAAGGAACAACAATGCCTAAAGCCCTGAGGTGCAGGTAGGCTGGCAAGGATTTGAACAATAGCAAGGAGCTTCTGGGCTCCTAGACAGGAGTGAGCAAGAAGGGGAGATGAGAATAGGAGGTGAGCAAGGGATGAGATTGTGTAGAGCTTTGTAGAGGCTTATAAAGACTTGGGCTTTCATCTCCATGAGATGGGAAGGGTTTGAACAGAGGAGCAGCCTGCCCTCATGTCCCTCTAGCAGCTAAGGAGGCTATGTGCCAGAGCGGCACGCCATTGGTGGTAGCCTCAATTGTTGTGGGTTTCCTGGTGAAAGATGATGGTGGTTAGAGCTCAGGAAGAACGTGGTGCAAGTGGTTTGATGTCATCAGATTTGGAGCATATTCTGAAGATAGAGTCAGCACTAAGCGTGTAGGAGTTAGAGAAAGCAAAAAGCAAAATATAGCCATGATGTTTGGTCTGAACAACTAGAAAGAAGGTTGGCATTCACTGAGCTGGTATGATATGTGGGTTTGGGAGGCAGGGGAAGTCAAGGGTTGGTTTTTTAATGTATTAGCTTTGAGCTGCCTCTTTGGTATCCCCACAGAATACACTGGGGTAAGTGAGTGTATGTATGCATAACTGTGATCAAGGGAGAGGGCTGTATGAAGATTTAGATCCAAGTCATTAGCATATAGATTGTAAATAAAGTCCAGAGGCAGGATGTGGTCATCAAGAGAGTGATTATGGGTACTCTAGTTCCAAGGATGAAAGCCTGCCTGGAGTGGGTTCGAGAAAGTGGGAGGGAAGGAATTGGAGAAATCACTAGTGTTAGGGAAGTCTTTAGAGGTGATTTTTTCCAAAGGGACTCAGAGAAATTGGTGGTAGCTGGAGGAGTTGCAGGACTATGGGGGGTGGTTGTGGCCGTGGTTGGTGGTGGGAGATCTATAGTAGATTGTTACATAAGTGGGAATGATCTGGTAGGTAGGAGAGGTTGCTGCAGGAGATCAGATACGCAGGTGCTTCTGGTAGAGGGTCACTAATACATAGGAAAGAGCTGCTCTAGGGAACATTCACAGTTTGACCATGATAACTGGTGAGAAGAGCCAGCAAATCCGGAGACCTCTAAATAAGACATTAAATGAAATAAAGATTCTAAAGAAGGAGAAAGTTTACTTTATAGTTGGATGGTCCTAGGACATTTTTTCTAAGGAAGGCAAGGTTTGAGCTTGGCTTCAAAGAGGTCAAGTTCATCAGGCCATAAGTTTATTTCATTTTATGTTGAGTTTTTATGTTTCAAGTTCAGTTTGCCGTATGCCAGGATTCCAACATGAAGGTTTTTCCATTTCTCTTGTAGCTTTTTTGATGAGAAATAAAATACTACTCATTTTAACACTCAAAAGAACACCTAATAAATTCTCTTTCCTCTAAGTAACCCTTTCCTTTTCCCTCCTAATTTCAGGAACAAACTCTAGCCCTTAGGAAAGAAGGGATTGGAGTTGTTTTGGATTCTGAACTGCCCCATTTGATTGGCATTGATGATGACCTCCTGAGTACTGGAATCATCTTATATCACTTGAAGGTAGAAACTACTTAAGTGGAACATAGAATTTTATGTTCAGTTTCCTCTTTGGACACCAGCAAGGTTTATTTAATACTCCACGTCTGTGAACACGGCTATTATATTAGAGAATATACATCTTTGAGCCCTTTGGGAATATTTTTTTGTTCACTGGTGTTCCATGGTATTAGAAGTTCTCATGTTCATGGAGTTCTAAAGCTACATGAAGATCCATTCACTTTGCCTTCCACTTTGCAGAATCAGTGAGAGAAAGGTAAGGAACAAAAAGGCAGACAGACCAAGGAAGGAAAACTACAACCACCTGGAACTGAGATTTGCTACATACCATTTTTTGGGCCCTCTAGATAATTATAAAGCATGTCTCCTGCCTACGTTATTGGTCCTGGTCCCAAACAGGCTATGTGTGTCAAGAGAACAGAATCACCATGTTAGTATCAGTGGTTGGCTCTGTAACCTTGACATAGTATCTTCTCTCTGATCCATGACTAAAAATGAGAATGGTATTGCATTTGTGCTTTGCAGCCTCCCACAGACTGTGTCTTTAGACATGAAGAACCCCGGGCCCCCTAGAGGAGAAGCTTGGCAGAAAGGATCAGGGGCATCATCAGTGGGATTACTGGCATGGACAGATTATTGATGCATACCCCAAATAGGAGCCATCCTGTGGTTGTGCAGTAGGCCTTAGGAGTCATGCAGCCCTTTTCCATGGGCAGTGGGGGGCATGGGCACAGCACAGAGGCTGTGGCCTGCCAAGGACACTGCTCAGCCTGTTGGCCACCATTGTGTTTGGGTTTATATGAAAAATAGAGAAATAGACCATTTTTCCTGTTCTTACTACTAAATTTTACTTGACTTTTCTTCCTAGGAAGGTCAGACATATGTTGGTAGAGAAGATGCTTCAACAGAACAAGATATTGGTGAGAATCTTTATCAATTTCCTCTTCCTCGTGATTTTTATTTTTATTTTTATTTTTTATTTTTTTTTCTCGTGATTTTTAAAAGCTATCTATCTATCTATCTATCTATCTATCTATCTATATTTTATTTATTTATTCATGAGAGACACAGAGAGACAGGTAGAGACATAGACAGAGGTTCCCTGCAGGGAGTCTGATGCAGGACTCTATCCCAGGGCCCCGGGATCACACACTGAGCTAAAGGCAGATGCTCGACTACTGAGCCACCCAGACATCCCTAAAAATCATATAATGAAGAATTTTCTTTTGAATGACTGACACTAAAGTGATTATAATCTAAAAACCAAACCTCTTTCTCAAATATAATGCTGAATCAGTATGTGCATTTCTATAATTTTGAACTCAATTCAAACGAATGACACAGACCAATTAATTTAGTGAATTAAGTGGAACTGTGAATCTCCCTCACCCTATATACATTCCATACTCTGTCACAACTTTCAAGAGTAATTTAAATTGTAGTGGGATAGTGATGGAAATATGCCAACAGACACAGATAAAGGCTATTAGACCCCTTACTGGGAAGGATATAGATCCTTAGCTGTACAGTGATGACAGAGTTGGATACACACAAGCACAGCATGCACACATATGGAGGTGTGTCTTCTGTGTTTCCCGAAAATCTTTGCTGAGACACACAGATAACTGGTAATTCATCCCTGAAGCTGGGTGATGTCTTACTAGGTTTTAAAAGCTTAACTTAGGGTGGTGGTGGTGGTGGTGGTGGTGGTGCTGCTGCTGCTGTGTGTGTGTGTGTGTGTGTGTGTGTGTGTGTGTGTGTGAGACAAGGGGGGATTGGCAGGGGAAGACTTCTATCTTCTCAGCTGTTTTTAGAATTGCTGGCAATCATCTTGCTTTCTTGCTAAGTATAAGCTATTCATCAAGCCAAAGCTAGCATAGTTCTAATGTGTTTTAGTATTTGCTGCAAAACTGGGAAAGCTGAAAACCAGGTCCCAGAAGTCTTCAGCTTCACCTCTTCTTGACTAGGACTAGATGTCAGGCCTCTTCTTCTGTTGTTCATTAAATTGTGTGTTTGACCTTTGGGGTTCCTGTAAATGATGATGAGTGGTAAGAACACATGTTTTCTGTGCACAGAAAAGTTCAGTAGTACAGTTCTCTGGGGAGCAATGGGAGCTATTTGATTTGTACTTCTGAGAAACTGGCCAAGAGCTGTGCCTAAAATCATATAGTTTTATTTGACAGGCATTCATATCCATGCCTGGCCACTTAGCAAGCATGAATGGCTCAGGATGGTCCTACATGATTAGATACATGTTAGTCACATGCTCTGAGCAGTTATTGGAGGTCATGTGCTCTCAGATTTGGCACAGGCTGTGGCAATGTGCCATCCCAGTATAGCATCTGAAGATTTCCTTGGGCCTCCCAAGATCCATGCCAGGCCAACTTCACCTTTAGTTTCTGCTTCTGGAATGCAGTGTCTGTAAGTGTGGAGGTTATAATAAGTCATTGACCCATGGAGCTCTTTTGTTGCTTCTGTTTTACTCTGACCTTTGGGTGGCTGGTGGGGGAAATTTATTCAGCATCTGAGTGACACAATGGTATTCAAATAAGACAAATTACTCAACTATTTTCTCCCTGAAGATGAGATAACTCAGCATGCGAGAATTTATTTCCTTGCACAGGTAATGTCCAGACCCTTTGAGGTAACATTCAGAGATACCTTCAGAGGATATCAGTTGATGCCATGAACTCTTGAAATTCACTTTTCTCACTGAACATAAATGTTCACTTCACAATATTTACATGGAAGGGGAAGAGTATTCAATATGGAAAAATAAAGGTTGGGGATCAGTGCACTAGATAACAAAGAAATTATCTTTTTTTAAATGTTTTTCCAACTTAGTTCTTCATGGCCTTGACTTGGAGAGTGAGCACTGCATCTTTGAAAATGTTGGGGGGATGGTGACCCTGATACCCCTGAGCGGGTCTCAATGCTCTGTGAATGGTGTTCAGATCATGGAGGCCACACACCTAAATCAAGGTATCTGACTTTTGGTTTTCAGAGTTCTTTGTGTATGTCACTGCTAGAGAACAAGTTGGCTAGGTAATGGGGGAACTTGTTCATCTTACAATTAATTGCTAATTGGTTATAAAAAAAAGATGAAGACTGCTTCATTATGCTGTTTTCTGCGTTGCTGGAGGACTTCTAATTCTGATTGTCTTGTTGAACTAAACATTTATGTAGTTGTCTTAAAAGTTATTGCTGTTATAGAAATATGACTTTAAAGGTATTTTTTTAACTTAAAAAGGCATCTTAAATGCAAAACCTTAACACAGTGCTGTTTATAACTTTATTTATTACCCTATTTATATTCTTTTTTGTGAATAGTTGTTAATTATAACACACATACAAGATCCAGTATCCTGTCTTTTTTTTTTTTCTTTTGAAATAATTTCAACTTTATAGAAAATCTGCAAGTGTAGTACAAAGAACTTTTTAATTCCAGGAACATTTGAAAGTAAATTGCTAACATGATGCCCCACTACCCCTGAATACTTCAGTGTTTATTTCCCTTAAACAATGGCATTCTTCTATGTAATTAGAATATAAGCATCTGAATTAGGAAACTAACACCAGTGCATTCCTACCATCTCATTCTTGTATGCCCTTTGGGTTGTCATCATTTGTCCAACAACATGCACTGTGGGCCGAAGATTCGGTCTGGCATTGTATGTGGTATTTGGTTGCCACATCCCTCTTGGTTCCTTCAGTCTGGAAGGTCCCTTTGCTTTCCTCTGGCCTTTAGGACTCCAAGTGCCCTGGAGCTGGGCAGGAACATCAGAGTTCAGTAGTAGCAGGTGACTAGCCCAAACCAGTACCCAGTGGTACCCAGTGATGGTTACCAAAGCAATATTTTCTACTTTTTTGAAACCAGGGCAAGGACTCTGGCAATATGGGATGGAGAAGCTGGTTCTTGCCAGACAGCAGAGTAATAGTCACAGTGAGAGACTGTCTCTGCCCTGAGCCCAGAAAGTTACTGTAATTGCATGGAAGATAAGAGGTCAGAATGTAGGGCTTTTCAGTGGTATTTCTGCCACCTGTTTGTTCACTCTTAGGACCTCAGGTGAAGGTCCTGCTGCTGTTCCTCTGGGGCAGCAAGGGTGATGCACAAGTCATGGCAAGAGGTGATACGAGTCCCCTTGTCCAGTACAGATCTCTGTATTGTCTGTATCTCTCCCAGGTCAGCTGAGGTTGACCTTGTTAGGATGACTGTGTTGTTACAGGGTTTTACAAGAGGCTTGTACTGGTTTTCAGTATCATCATTAATATATGGGCAGAACTTTGGAATTCATTTTGAAATATTTAATTGTTTAATATATCTGGGGTAGACCTAATTTAATTTTTTTTCCCATATTGGTGTAGCATTTATTATAACCTTACCCCATCCTGTATTCACTTCTTTTGAAGAAATTTACTTGACTGAAAATGAACACTGACACACAGCATTGGATCTATTTTGTAACTCCCACTTTGTTCCAGTGCTGCATATTTCTGCTTTTGTACCACTATCACACAATTTGAATGCTTGTCATATTATAATATGCTTTGATTTCTCTTATCTGTGTGTTTTTTTGCTATTCATGCCTATTTTTTTCCAAAGGAGTTTTAGAATCTTTTTATTTTTCTGCTAAAACATCCTTTCAGAAGTGAGATTTCTAATTTCATTTGATTTGTTCACATTCTAACATATATTTCTGTCTTGGGACTTCTATTTATTCAGTATGTCTCTTTTATTTGAATTTTCATCAGTTTCTTTCAATGAAACTTTGAAAGTTTTTAATATGTGTTCATACTGAACTGTATTTATTCACATATACAAAATTCTGCACATAGCTGTATACTTCAAACACTCAGAAACAGGGAGGAAAAATCTTAATTCTATAATAATCTATTTTGATAATACTGAAGATTTTTCAAGCACGTTGGGCCTTTAAGGATATCAATTTAAAACCATAAAGGTTAAGTGAGGCTCAATGAATTCAGAGATCTCACTCTAATACTTCTGAGTCCTGTACATTGCTCCTCCAGGTACTCCCATGTGCAGTCTGGCTTGTCTGTGGAGCCACACACAGGAAGTTAGAGAATGGGTTATGGTTGGGATTATAATTGGGGGCCTTCTTTAGCTAAGCTGTGCTTGGATCACAAATAACCCACAAGGGTGAATATCATCTGCTGGATCCCCCTTACTTTGTTGCCTGGTCATCCACCTGTTTTCCTCTGTGTGCTTTCCTTGCTCTCCCCATGACTGTCTGGAGCTTCTGAAGCTCATACCATTCACAGTCCTGGCTACTGAGAAGGCTGAGTGGATTATAGTGGCCACCGCTTCTGCCACTGATGGGTGAAATAGTCTCTTATGGATTCTCCTGAAAGGTAACTTTTATGTGTAATGGTGTTTCTGTGAGAAAATCAGTCTTAAGTTCCAAACAACATATTGCAAAAGGAACTTTTAGAGCACATATTGTTTAATGGAGAAACTGCCTAGAATTAATTAATCAATCAATCAATTAATTAATTAATTAGATTATTTTTTTATACTTGATTTCCTAGCTTCTGCTTCGGCATACGTTGAGGCATTTAACCTGTATTTTTTTTAATTTATTTTTTTAAAAGATTTTATTTATTCATTCATCATAGAGAGAGGGCAGAGACACGGAGGGAGAAGCAGGCTCCATGCCGGGAGCCCGATGCGGGACTCGATCCCAGGACTCCAAGATCATGCCCTGGACCAAAGGCAGGCGCCAAACCGCTGAGCCACCCAGGAATCCCCAGAACTTATTATTTAAAATTAGGATTATCTTCTATTTGCCCCTCCCCTACCCCCCCAAAAGATTATTAATTTGTTTATTTAGTTCAGAGAATTTGCTTATTATTCCATTGGTATCTGCTTATGTAGCTATGATTGTGCCTCTAATTCTCATGTGGATTGAAGCATAGTAGCTAAATAATAAACATATCTCCCTTATAGTATTATCAAGTGTTTTTTTTCTATCAAATTTTTTCCTTAATTGAGAGTCCATTTAAAAAATATGCCTGTTCAGGTTAACGATGACTGAAGTGAAATTTTTGACTTGTCCTAAGAAAGTAGTAATGCTAATTGACATTTAAACTTAATGGTCAGAATTCCCCAACCCCCTCTGGGCTATCTTAATTGCTTTATTACCATGGTGCCATGATTTTGGCTTGAGTTCCTCTGGTGGTCTGCTGTGCGACAGACATAAAATTGCTATGTTCCAAAGCCTTAAAACATCCATGCACCGAGTATAAATGTCATTAGCAAGTCTTAGGGTAATGAAATGCCAAGAGGACTTTGTGTTTCAAGGCATTACATGAAAGAAGAAAGAATACCTTTTTTTTTTTTTTTAATGTGTATACTTTAAGACTGAAAGATCCCATCAAGGAAAGAACCTGTAAATTTCTTCAAAGATTAAGGATTAAACTACTCAACATTTCTTAGTTTTTTGTTTTGTTTGGGGGGGGGGGAGAAAGAGAATGTGTGTGTGTGTGAGTGTGTGTGTGTGTGTGTGTGTGTGTTTGCACGCATGCATACCTGAGGAAGGGAGAGGCAGAGGGAGCAGGGGAGAACCTGAAGCAGACTCCACACTGAGCACAGAGCCTGATGTGGGGTTTAATCCCATAATCCTGAGATCAAGACCTGAGTCAAAATCAAAATTTGGATGTTTAACTCACTTTTAATATATGTGCTACTGAAGCAAGCATAGTATGCTTAACTCACTGAACCACTCAAGTGCCCCAACATTTCTTGATTTTTAAGTATTATTAAAATGGGAACTGGAACATGTTTTAAAAACAAAGTATACAATGTGATGTATATAATAAAATACAAGTATACAATTTTTTTTAAAAAGATTTTATTTATTCATGGCAGAGAGAGAAAGAGAGAGAGAGAGGCAGAGGGAGAAGCAGGCTCCATGCAGGGAACCCGACGTGGGACTCTATCCCAGGTCTCCAGGATCACACCCCAGGCTGAAGGTGGCGCTAAACCGCTGAGCCACTGGGGCTGCCCCCAAGTATACAATTTTTGGCTATGAAAATATATAATAAAAATTAAAAGATGTAAAGAGGGGAGAGAGAGAATGTCAAGCAGGCTCCACACTGAGTGGACACCGATGACGTGGGGCACGATCCCATGACCCTGAGATCACGACCTGAGACCCTGAGAGCTGACTCTAAATGTCAGCTTAACTGACTGAGCCACCCAGGCACCCCTATAGGATTTGATTTTTTAACAAAAAAAGCAAGACCAAAGTGAAAAAGAGAAAGAATATGGACTTCTTTAAAATATAATAATAACTGGGAAACAGAATTAAGCAAAGCAGTATATTCATATTCCACAAATTACCTTGGCTTTTGCCCATGAAGCAATTTAAGTAAAGGTATCAAGAACAGAGAATGCAGATGGATGTTAGCCCAAGTCACAATGGTCTGATGGTATTAACTCTGTATTTGACTGGATTCCCGGTTTACTCTACTACCAGCACCTTCCTGTCTTTTTACTATCAGTTTCCAGTATTGTTGATATTTGGTATTTAAACATCTCTTTTCATTAGTAAATTGCTTCATTTGCAAATGTGTTGGGCTGTCCCATTAAAAAGCACAGGCAGTAATTACCACTTCCTTATCTAGATCACTTAAGATACTTGTGAATGTCAACTAATAGGAGATTTACCTACATCTAGCAGATTTTCACCATCGCTGGGAAATTTTTTTTACCTGTATTGGTTAACAGCCTTACTTCTTTCAGATTGCATAAACAGTATTTCCACTGGTAACATCACTAAAATGAAAAGCGTTTGTTAGTACTGTGAGAATTAACTATAATGACATATATAAAGTGTGTTGCCATAAGCCCGGCCTATGAAGCTCTTCTCCTCTCCTCTGATGAATTCTTCTAGAAACTGTGCATGGCATATGTAGCCTTGTATCTGCCTGTGCTCTTCACCTGCCATGTTCTCTGGAGC